AAAGAAACTTCTCTGAAGAGGAAATGCAAATGGCCAACAGGCATATGAAAAAATGTTCAACATCACTTGTCATCAGGGAAATGCAAATCAAAACTACCATGAGATACCATCTTACACCAGTGAGAATGGCACATATTAAAAAAACTAGCAACAACAAATGTTGGCGAGGGTGTGGAGAAAAAGGAACTCTTCTGCACTGTTGGTGGGAGTGCAAACTAGTTCCAACCACTGTGGAAAGCTGTGTGGAGATTTCTGGACCTACTAAACATAGAGCTTCCATATGATCCAGCAATTCCACTCCTAGGTATTTACCCAAAGGACACAGAAACATCAATTCCAAAGAACACCTGCACCCCTATGTTTATAGCAGCACTGTTTACAATAGCTAAGCTTTGGAAACAACCCAAATGCCCAAAAATAGATGACTGGATCAAGAAGATGTGGTACATATATACCATGGAATATTACTCAGCATTCAAAAAAGATAAACACATGCAATTTGCAGCAACATGGATGGCGCTGGAAGGGATCATGCTCAGCGAAATAAGCCAGAAAGAAAAAGAAAAATACCGGATGGTCTCACTCATAGCAGGAATCTAGAAAACTTAAATAAGGGACCAGGAAAATGAATAACTATAAGAAAGTGAAAATCAAAATCAACAAAAAACTATGAACCAGAGACACTTTTAGGGGGGCAGGGGCGGGAGGGGAGGGATTGGGGTCAGAATGGGGGTGCTGCAATTGTATGGGGAATATAACAATAAAATTTATTATCTAATAAAAAAAAAAAAACTAGAAAAGAACAACAAAAAAAAAATCCTAAAACTAGTAGAAGAAATAATAAAAATCAAAACAGAAATAAATGAAATCGAAATCGAAACTAAAAAAATAATCCAAAAGATGAATGAAACCAAGAGCTGGTTCTTCGAAAAAATATATAAAATAGACAAACCCCTAGCCAGGCTCACAAAGGGAAAACAGGAGAATGCACAAATAAATAGGATGAAAAATGAAAGAGGAGAAATCACAACAGACACAGCAGAAATCAAAAGAATAATCAGAAACTACTATGAACAGTTATATGCAAATAAGCTCAACAATCTAGAAGAGACAGACAAATTCCTACAACTCTACAATCACCCAAAGCTAGATAAAGAAGAAATAGAACACCTAAACAGACCAATTACAAGCCGTGAAATTGAAATGGTAATCAAAAACCTCCCCCAAAACAAAAGCCCAGGACCAGATGGATTAACAATTGAATTCTACCAAATATTCAGAAATGAATTAGTGCCTATCCTTCACAAACTCTTTCAAAAAATTGAGAAGGAAGGGACAATACCAAACACATTCTATGAAGCCAACATTACACTAATACCAAAACCAAACAAGGACAACACACAAAAAAAGAAAACTACAGGTCAATCTCTCTAATGAACACTGATGCAAAAATCCTCAATAAAATTTTAGCTATCAGCATCCAACAATGTATTCATAAGATAATTCACCACAACCAAGTAGGATTTATTCCAGGGACACAAGGATAGTTCAACATCCAAAAATCAATCAATGTAATCCAACACATCAACAAAAAGAAATACAAAAACCATATGATAATATCAATAAATGCTGAGAAAGCTTTCAACAAAGTACAACACCCATTTATGATAAAGGTCCTTGAAATTCTCGGGATACAAGGAACATACCTCAACTTCATAAAGGCCATATATGAAAGGCCCATAGCCAATATCATTCTCAATGGTGAAAAGCTGAAAGCATTTCCATTAAGATCTGGAACAAGACAAGGATGTCCACTCTCACCACTGTTTTTCAATATAATACTGGAAGTCCTAGCCAGAGCAATAAGATAAGAGAAAGACATACAAGAAATCCAAATAGGCAAGGAAGAAGTCAACCTATCACTATTCATAGATGATATAATAATATACATAGAGAACCCCAAAAACTCCACAGAAAAACTAATTAATCAGTTTAGTAAAGTGGCAGGATACAAAATCAACACACAAAAATCAGTAGCCTTCCTATACACAAACAATAAATCTGAAGAAGAAATCAAAAAAACCATTTCTTTCATTATTGAAACAAAAAAAATCAAATACTCGGGAATAAACCTAACAAAAGAGGTAAAGGACCCTATACAAAGAAAACAATAAAACACTGTTGTTTTTTTTAATTAATTAATTTTTAATTTATTTATTTATTTATATAAGCACTGTGTACAGTCAGAAGCACGGGAGGGTGAGAGAATTCACCAGAGCCAGAGCAGGGAGCAGAGCAGGCAGAAGGACCGAAGTACACTGCTAAGGGGAGCAGCGGGCGGCAGAAGAGGTCTGCGCGCCATGTGGGACCCTCCTCTGGTGGCCGAGGAGCAGCCGGGGATCGAACCAGTGCTGCAGAGGCAGCGGGCAGCCTCGCAACCCAGAGCTCAACCGGAGCTCAACCGGGGCGCCACCGGGGAGGCCCTATAAAACACTGTTAAAAGAAATAGAAGAAGACACAAAGAAATGGAAAGACATCCCCTGCTCATGGATTGGAAAAATTAACATTATCAAAATGGACATCCAAAAGTGATGTACAGATTCAATGCTATTCCAATAAAAATTTCAATAACATTCTTCAAAGAAATAGAACAAATTTTGATAAAATTCATATGGAGCCTCCAAAAACCCCGAAAAGCCAAAGCTCTCCTGAAAAAAAAGGAAGGGAATGGCGGCATCACACTCCCAGATTTCAAACTATACTAAAAGCCATAATAATCAAAACTGCATGGTATTGGAACAAGAACAGACACAATGGAACTTAATAGAAAATCCAGAAATAAACCCACAGATTTATAGTCAACTAATCTTTGACAAAGGAGCAAAGAATATGCAATGCAGCAAAGAAAGTTTGCTCAATAAATGGTGCTGGGAAAACTGGGTTGCTACATGCAAAAGAATGAAGCTTGACTACTACCTCGCACTATACACAAAAACCAACTCAAAATGGATTAAAGAACTAGACATAAGACTTGAAACCATAAAATAGGTAGAAGGAAATAAAGGCGAAACACTACATGACATGCACCTCAAAAACATCTTTACAGACACATCTCCCAAAGCAGTGATAGTGAAGGCAAAGACAAACAGCTGGGACTACATCAAATTAAAGAGCTTCTGCACAGCAAAAGAGATAATAACCAAAACAAAGAGAGGGCCTCCCCGGTGGCGCAGCAGTTGAACGCTGGGTTGCGAAGCTACCCGCGGCCTCTACGGCGCCGGTTCGATCCCCGGCTGCTCCCCGGCCACCAGAGGAGGGTCCCACATGGCGCTCTCCTGCCGCCCGCTGCTCCCCTCAGCAGTGTACTTCGGTCCTTCTGCCTGCTCTGCTCCCTGCTCTGGCTCTGGTGAATTCTCTCACCCTCCCGCGCTTCTGACTGTACCCAGTGCATGTATAAACCAAACAAACAAACAAATAATAAATAAATAAATAAATAAGACATGCCTCTAGAAAATTAAAAAAAAAAACAAAAAAAAAACAAAGAGAAACCCCACCAACTGGGAGAAAATTTTTGCACACAACACTAATGATAAAGGACTGATCACAAAAATCTACAAAGAGCTGATGAGACTCAACAAAAACAAAGTAAACAATCCAGTCAAAAAATTGGCAGAAGAGCTAAAAAGAAACTTCTTCAAAGAAATGCAAATGGCCAACAGGCATATGAAAAAATGTTCAACATCACTTGTAATCAGGGAAATGTAAATCAAAACTATGATGAGATACCAGTGATACCAATGATACCAGTGATACCAACTACCAATGAGATACCATCTTATACCAGTGAGAATGGCACTTATTAAAAAAACTAGCAACAACAAATGTTGGTGAGGATTTGGAGAAAAAGGAACTCTCCCACACTGCTGCTGGGAGTGCAAAATGGTCCAACCACTGTGGAAAGCTGTATGGAGATTCCTCAACCTACTAAAGACAGAGCTTCCATAAGATCCAGCAATATCACTCCTAGGTATTTACCCAAAGAACACAGAAACATTAATTCAAAAGGGCACCTGCACCCCTATGTTTATAGCAGCACTATTTACAATGCTAAGCTCTGGAAACAACCCAAATGCCCAAAACTAGATGACTGGATCAAGAAGATGTGGTACATATACACAATGGAATATTACTCAGCATTCAAAAAAGATAAATTCATGCAATTTGCAGCAACATAGATGGAGCTGGAAGGGATCATGCTCAGCGAAATAAGCCAGAAAGAAAAAGGAAAACACCAGATGGTCTCACTCATAGCAGGAATCTAGAAAACCTAAATATGGGACCAGGAAAAAGACTAATTATAATAAAGAAAAAATCAAAATCAACAAGCAACTATAAACCAGAGACACACTATAGGGGGTAAGGGGAGAGGAGAGGAGGGATTAGGGTCAAAATAAGAGGGGTGGGAATTGTATGGGGAAGATAACCAAAATGAAAATGCATACATTGTGCAAAAATGAAAAATGATGTAAAAATTATATAAAATATAAAAAAAAAAGACAATCCCCACTTTCCTTTGCAATTAGATAATAGTGATGTGACTTAAGTTTTGACCAAGATATAAGCAAAAGCATCATAGAACTTTTGGAAGTTGAGAGACATCTATTTTATCTCACTGCCTGGAATATAAAATTGCTAACTGGAGCTAACTTTACACAATGAGGCATCCTGATACTAGAAGCCATGCTCTAGGAATGACAAGGCAGAAACACAAAAGAAATGTGGGTGTGTATTGACAACATCGGCAAATGATCTGCGGAATACATGCCGCTGGCCTTGTTTTGCACAGGAGAAAAATAAAGTTCTATTATTTTTAAGCTACTCTTACTTCGAGTTTTCCATCACATGCAACCAAACTTAATCCTAACCACCATAAAAGTGAAGACTGTGCAGTCTATGGACAGGTCAATGTTGAAGATGCCCTTGGCCAGCTGCAGGCCCACCTTCTTGGAGTCCACTGGCACCTTTGACTCGTCTGGTCTTCAGTGTTGGTGGGGAGTCAAAGGTCGTCACTGTGCCCCCGGAGGCACTAGTCATGGGGGCGGCAGGATTTGGTCCTTTTGTTTTGAATCCCTGTTTCCCAGGGCTATACACCGGAGGGGTGGGGTACACTGGAGCCTCCACACACTGGTTTGGCACCTAGAAGGACAGCACATTCAGAGAAAGACATCTATCTGGGAAGGGAGAAGGGAGAGCTGCTCCAGCCGGGGGGACCCTCACTGTGGCTGTGGCTGACCTCAGCCACTCCCCAACTATATCCCCATGCTAAGTTCTCCAAGTGGCTATGAGCCCAATCACTCCCAAGACTGCTTAGAAGTAACTTCATGAAGACAGCCAGCCGTCAGTCAAGGTTCAAATCCTGACTCCACTATTTATCACCGAAGTGACCTTGGACAAGTATTTTAACTTTTCTGTCTCAGTTTCCATATCTGTAAAATGGGATTAATCATAGTACCCCTCTCATTGGGCTGTTCTGAGGATTAAGTGAGTTAATATCTAGAAAACTTAGAACAGTACCTGGCATATAGTAAGTACTCAATAAACATGAGCTGTTGTAATGATCATTACCATAGTTAGTATTTTGCTAGCACTGAGGAATCAGGAAGTTAGAAGGGTCTGTGTTCTCATCAGCAATTCCACTTCTCACTCCCCCCTCTTGTGACACACAAGCAGGCATCCCTCAACTGAGAACTGACACTGAGGCCATAAGAAATTACCAAATGAATTCCAGGCCACTCAAACTTAGTTAACTCTAGTGCATTGTGAATAATTCATTTACGTATTCATGTATTTCATCATTCATCGGTCTTCTGGGCTAACCTAGCCAAAGTTTTGCTCCCTAGCCTCCTCTGCTTTGCTTTTCTCCTTAGATTTATTATCTAATGAATTATGTACTTTACCTACTTATCTTCTCTATTATGTGTCTAGTTCCATGAAGGCAGGGATTTTTGTTCTGCTTTTGTTTAACACTCTAACCCCAGGGCCTTTATTGCTCTAACCTCTAAAGCAATTTTTGGTAGACAGCAGGCACTGAATGAATGGATTCCTTTAAGCATGCACTGGGCGTCTGAGATGGCGCCAGTAGGTGCTTCAACCAGATCTTATCTGTTGGCCCTTGGTACCTTTCCCACATCCTCCACTGAAATGCTTAAAACCACATTCCCAGGCTCCTTTGCCAGCATGGTTCTGAGAATGTAATTATTAGGTTCTGTCCATGAGAAGCAACTGCATGAGATAGGGAAGGCAGAGGGAAGGAGAAACTACTCTCTTCCTCTAGTAGCCAGCAGAGACAGTCCATCATGAGTGTTGAGGGACTTTGACGACTAGCCCCAAGGATGGCAGGGCAGCCGGGACACCAGTCTACAGATTCATGTACTCTGGGTGCAGCAGCCAGGTCCTGACTCTGGGTCAAGTGATGATAGTCAACCTAAAAATCAGAGGAGCCTGTCAACCTTGACTTTTGCTCCTCTGGCCAGATCATCAGCTTTGTAAGCACCTAACTTCCTGTATTAAATCCCTCTGCCCGAAATGGCTAGACTGTTTCTCTTTTCTTGATCAATACAGCACTCAATAAATATTTGTCACATGAATGAATTCACCCATTATTCAAGTCACTACTGAGAGATTATGTGACTGCCACTGGGTTAGCTCCCATTATCCCCAACAGCCCTAGGAGAGGAGTTCCCATTTCAGAGGGGAGGAAACTGAGGTCAGAAGGCTCTACTCTGGCTACCTACAACCCTGGCCCCATGGACCAGGTACTCTGCTAGGTGCTAATATTCTGCTTTGACAGAATCAAAGACCACTCAGGCTCTGCCTTCAAAGAGCACCCTTGTCGATACGGAAAATAACAGCAGCTCCCCTGTGCCGGCCCCTCTGCCTACAGGGCTGCCATCATCCGCTCAGCATCTTACTGACTTAACTTTTTTTTATTTGACAAAGTCCTCAGGGAAGTTTGCTTTATTCTCCCAGACCAGGAAAATACCCCTGAAGGCTCTCACATCATGTGCTGGTGGTGGGATTTTCCCACCAGTCTGATTCTCTTTAAACAGAGATGCCACTTGATGTGGGCTGTCCGTATGGCCAGGTTCTAGGTCTGGGTTAATGTGCCCTCCAGTACAGGCAGGCTCCTTCTTTCATAACCCTACCCTCTAGCACTCATGTCTAGGCAAGGTCTTGATAATAGAGTGCTCGTAGCTCAGAGCTCTTCAGCAGCGAATGAGCATGGTACATGTGAGTGACTGCATGATGGCCTCACTTCTTCACTGCTCCCTATACTCATGTCCTTTGCGGTGCGACTCTGCAGCTCTTCCCATGAAGAGGTGGCATCTATTTCCCTACTCCCAAAATCTAAGCTGGCCTTGTGCCCTGCTTTGACCAACAGAGACACTGTAACTTACAAGCCTAAGCCTCAGGAGTCCTTAAACATTTCTGCACCTCCGCCATGGCAAACGTGCTGGAGGATGAGAGCTGCATGAAGCAGAGCTGGGTCACCCCACCCCAGGCTATCCCAGAGCAGCTGGCAACTAATCCAGCTCCAGTCACGTGGCTGAGGCCAGTCAGGATCAGCACTTGCCAAGCTGACCACTGTACATGTGAGAGTGCTATACCACTGAGTCCCTGGTGCTATTTTTTACCCAGCCATAGTTAACTGATACACTGAGCTTGTTAAAAATATGAGATACTCATGCAGATATGCTTTTGGAATCCTCTTCCCAAAAGGCAGGTACTCTGACTACTTTGAGCACTCTCTGAGGAAAGCTTATATTTCTGCTACAATCTCTACTTCACACCACCTCCTCATGGTTTTGTATTTTCCATTTATAGGCAAGATGGCTTGATGAAAGTCCTTCTCCCCCAAGATAGGGTATACTCTGAGAGCAGGGATCAGGTCTGGTTCTGTCCCCCACAGTATCTCCAGTACAATATCTAGCATACAGTTGGTGCTCAGAAAGGGTCTAGGTTACTCATGCTGACCATGACAAGTTTCCCTGACTTTGCTCCCACCCCCAGGCTCTGCTCACCTCCAGGGGTGGGTAGGGTTGCATGCCCAATGCTTGGATCTCCACCGTTCCACTCCCAGCCAAGGGTGCTGGGGCGTTGTACACTTCCACCACGCCACTCCCACCAGGGTTGGCTCGCCCAGGGGGGCCCAAGTTCTGGGGTGGGGGTGGTGGGGGCTGGGGGGTGGGGGTGGGGGCAGTGGTGGAGGCGGGGGAGGAGGAGGAGGAGGCTGGGTGAGGTAGCTGGGTGCAGAATGCATGTTCAGGCTGCTCTGAAATCAGAAGAGAAAATTAGAGCGTCATAGTTTCTTGCCAGCAGCTGCCATGCTGATCAGTGAGCAAGGGCATTTGCCTCGGCCAGCCATATAGAGAGAAGAATCCCCCACAAGACAACTCAGAGGCTGGGACTGTGCCCCTTTTCTCCATGGAGTCAGCAAAAATGGCTCATCTTGTTGTGGAAAGAGTTCATACAGCTGGCGATGCTGCTGCTGGTAGAGGGCGTGGCCTGCAGGACTTGCTCCTGCCTGGCAGGTTCCCTGTGTCAATAACGCCGTTTCACCCACCTGGGGCACTGACCGTACTGTGCCAGCTCACCAGGACTGCCTGCACAATGTGGTTTATGGTGAACACCGCCTTCTCTTCTGGGAGTCATTATGGCTTTGTGCCTAATCCCTGGCCTTGGAGTTTCAGGTGTGTTCCCCAGCAGAAACACCATACAGGCTGCCGCTCTTCACTGTGAGAGGAAGACATGTGCTTTGCGCGTTCTTGCCCCTCTTCCCCAGGAGGGAGAACTTTGGAAACCTGGATTCCTCCAGGCTCCAACTGATGTGCCTTTTCCCCTGGCTGGTCCTGCTATGCATCCTTTTGCTGTAATAAACCATGGCCATGAGAATAACCATCCTGTGTCTTGGGAGTCTAGAGAGCCACTGAATGGGTAGGTTTTCACAAAACCCTGCAGCATAGCCACTAACTTCTAGAAATTTACTCTACAAAATAATCAACCAGGTGGGCAAAGATAAATGTATATGGTGGTTATTTTAGTAGTTTCTATAACAGCAAAAATGACAGTGACCTACATGCCCTTCCATAGAAGCCTGACTATACAAAGGGTGGTCCATCCACATGATGGAATTCTTTGTGACTATTAAAATGATGCTGCTGGTTAGTACTTTCTAAAGTACTCTTAACTGCTATTCCTTGAGTTCCACAGTCATACATGTTTGGGGGAAAATCTGAGGTGACATAATCTAAAGTATTTTTGTACTGTTAGAAAAACCCAGGGGCAGAAAAAGGGGAGAAGTATAATGCTGTTACCCTGGGCTGGTGTGACCAGAGGGTCTTTTGCTGGTCAGTCAAAAGGAGCTATTGTCCCAACGGACACTGCAGAAATGATGCTGAGTGGTAGTCACAGTTTCAGAACAGTGCATGTAACACAACCCATTTATAATAGATATGCATCTTATGTTAATATAAAAAGCTGTTTCTATCTCTATTTGCATTCAAAGGCCAGGAAAGCCCGACATCAAACTTTTAGTAGTGTTTTCTTTGGGTAGAGGGACTCACTAATTAACTTCCCAACTTTCATTTTCAACAATTTCATACCTACAGAAAGGTTGCAAAAAGAATACAATACTTTGGGGGCATCCCTGATGGCACAGGGGTGAAGTCTCGGTGCTATCACCAGGAAGGCCTGAGTTCAATCCCCAGCCAGGGAGCTGACCCACATGGGGCAGCAGACCTCTCCTGTCTCACCCACTGCTACCCTCAGCAGTGTATCTCAATAGATCCACCTGTTCTGCTCCCCACTCTCTCTGGTGAATCCTCTTAAGCCCACTGCCCCGCACCTCTGGCCTACACCTCAGTTCTTGTATACATAGATTAAAAAAAAAAATCTTAAAAAAAAATAAATAAATAAAATAGTAGTCAAAATATCCAGGATGGCTGTTTAACCCCAAAATCATGCTCTGGATCCCAACTGAACATAGCAGCTTCCCACATACAATATGGCTGGCCAAGTGGAGGCTGACAATCCTCCTCAGCATGGGAGAGAGCTGGGGCCAAACCCTCTTCTTTCTACAAGATTCTGAATCCACAGGAGCCAAAATGCAGGCCTGGGATCAAGACCCTGTGAGAAGCCAGCCTTCTCCTTACCTGCACTGGTGGGGGTCCCTGGGGCATGGGCTGGTCCAGGGACGTGAAGGCTGACATAGCAGACATGAGCACGTCATCGCTCACCAAGATGTTCCCTTGCACCAGGGTCTGGATTAGTGGGGATGGGGGCACTGTGATGTACGTGGAGATCTGGATGGGAGAGGGAAAGAAAGGATATGTTTGATATTCTGGAAGGAAGAGGAAGGAGTGATACAAAAGATCTGGGTTCTAGAGTTCCACAGACCTGGGTTCCATTTCCACCTCTGCTGCTCCCTGCTATGTGACTCTGGGCAAGTCATTCCACTCTCTGAATCTCTATTTCCTCATCTATCAAAAAGAGGAGAATAAGTACATGCCTTCATGTAATGACCCAGAAATAATACTTCCAGGTAGCCGTCCTAGAGAAACACACATGTCCACAGAGAGTTCACAAATAAGAATATTGTGCGTGACCTTATTTCTAATAGTGAAAAACTGGAAATAACCTTGGGGTCAATTGACAGGAGATGAAGTACAGGAAAAAAAAAATTCAGTCATAGGATAAAATATTATACAGCAGGTAAAAGATACTGCATGCATGAAAAATCAGATTCCATTACAATATAGAGATTATATATTCTTATTTTTGAAAATCTAAGGTAAGATGACTGTAATTCCCCTGTGAATACTTCAAAAAAGATGTGAAAGTCTCTTAAAAGATAGAGCAAATACTATGTCTTTGGAAAGGAGGGAGAACCAGCAAACAGCTTCAGTCATGAGATAGGGGGACAGTGGAGGGCAGAGCAGGAGCTCATTTCCTCTGCACATTCTGGCAATTAGACTTGGGCATGTGTCTAAAGGGGGGGGGGGATCAGTACTCACTTTTTATATTTAAATATTCAAAATGATTCCAATTGAAAAACAATATCCACCAGTAGTTATCTGGTGGCAGGGAAGAAGCAGAAGGGAAATATGTATTACTTACAAATAATCAAGTTAATAATAATGACAGTAATACACTCTCCAGGTCACAATGGGGATGAAAGGCAAACCTTACAGAAGTGTCAATCATGTGGTGACTGATCCTCTCAATTGATGTTTGTTTGCTGCTTTTCTGCACTGGGCAGCCCTTGGCATCTGGCTAGATCAGCTGTCTCTGTAGGGTCTCTGAGGAGGGCAGTGACTGGAACCCTGAACCCAGAGACCCTGTCCAAACAGGATGTTCTCACCAGTAACCTAGCAAGGACAGAGCAGACAGGCTGGGGAAACGCCCCATGTCACAGCCACAAAAGGCAGTGGAGATTTTGGCTCATATATTTTTATAATATCACATGAATTAGGCCGAAATGAAAAGTGGGAAATCACATTCCTATCTACTCAAGTCACTCAAGCAGGACAATTGGCATTTGCCCTTAACATACCATTTTTTAAATTATTTCCTTGTCCAAGACTGGGGAAATTTTTTAATTTTTTGGGAAAGAAAAAAAAAAAAAGAAGGGGAAGTGGGAATATTTTCTTCCAACAAAATTCCTGATGAAGGAGTGAGAACAATGAGTATGTTCTATGCTAGGAGATTTCTGTGGCCACTTGAATAGTTTCAATCTCCATGTCCTACAGATCTGGCAGGGCAAAAGCTTTTATTTTGGTGGCAGGAATTATGTTTACATGACAGCTGAAGACAAAGTTTCAAAGGAATAAAGAGACAAAAGGAAAATAGAAAAATTCAACTCCTTGACCTGGCATCCTGAGACATGCCCAGCTTCCTTTGAGGGCTCCTGAACCGCTCAAAGAGACCCCCAATCAAGGAGTCTTTGCTCCAGCACTGTGTTCTGAGTGAGGATCATGAAGGTTTCTCCCGATACCTGCAGCCTGGCCCTCTCCCCTGATCTCCAGACTTGTACGCCCGGCTGCAGCGCCACCACCTCTACTTAAAGGTCTCAAATCCAACATGGCCTGACATCGCCCCCAAATCCTCCTCACTCTTTTCCACTTTAATTAACAAGAACTCTAACCGTGGAGTCAACCTTGACTCGGCTTGAACTCACACCCCACATCCAATCTATCCATAAGATGTAGGCTCCACATTCAAAATATTTCCAAAATCTCTACCCTTCTCTTCACCTTCACTACCCCTGCTCAAGCCACCACCACCCACTGCCCAGACTTACACAATAGTCCTCAATGGGTCTCCCGTCTTTCTTGACTCCCATCAAAATCTATTCTGTCTTGCAACCAGCGGGATGTAGTTAAAGTAGAAATCAGATTAAATCTCTCTTCTGCCCAAAACCCTCTAATGGCTCCCATATCACTCACAAAAGCTCATAAGGCCCACACGATCTGCCAGGGTCCCCCTGCTGCCTCTCCGTACCATCTCCCACTCGCTCAGCTCCAGCCACGCTCACCTCCTTACTGTTCCTGGAACAGCACACTCCTGCCTCAGAGCTTCTGCATTTGCTGCCCCCTCCTCTTGGAATTCTCTCCCCCAAACTGGTAGCATGATTCATTCCCTCACATCTTTAGATCTCTGCTCAAATGTCACTTCTTCCCAGAGGCAACCCTAAGCACCATTTACAAAAAGGCAAAGCCTCTACGCCTGTCATCCCCATCTCTCTAGACTCAAATTCCTGAAAAAGCATACTTCTATACACTTGCTTGGGTGTGACCTATTCCACCCACCTCCTCAAGGGCAGTGACATGGCAGTGCCCACACAGTACCTGACATGTTGTGGTTGCTCAAAATAAACTCACTGAGTGTTTTAACAAAGGATGGTGTGAATACCTGGCGATTGGCAGGAGGTGGGGCCTGCTGAACTGCTGCGGGTGGCGCCGAAGGTGTGTAGATGTTGTTGGTGGCCAGTGAGACTGTGGCCAGGGGCGGGGCACTCCCCTGGCACTGTTCCCGCTTGTGGGTCATAAACGCTGGCAGCGAGTTGAACTGTTTCTTACACTTCCCGCAGAGAAAGACATCCTCATCATCTAGGGATGATGCCCACAGAGCAGCAGAGAGAGGGGAGTAAGAGAAAAAAATAGCAAGAATAAGTAGAGGGCATCAAAGTGAGAAACAGGGAGAGACCCACATCTGGGCCACGAGAACAGCAAATCTTAACAGCATCTGTGACTGGACGTGCATGTGTCAAGAGTCACCTTTGTGCTTCCCAGGAGCTAATTTTTCTAATCAAAAAATTAGAAATCAAGAAAAATTAAAGTGCGTTTGCTCTGGAGTTGAAAAATTCAGAATCTTTACCTTGCCTGAATTTATTCATCAGTCCCCAAACAGACCACAGGATTATACTCTGCGACCCTGTATCCCCTGTTCCCTCTAGCTGCCTCTCTCAGAAAACTCATTCTGCAAGGCTCAGCTCAGATGTCATCTCCTCCAGGAAGTCCCCCTCGGCCAGTGGCCACAAGGCACACCTCTCATACCTCCAGACTATGCATCCCCTAAAGGAAGGAAACATGTTTTATTTATTACCATAACTGCAGTATCCCCTGTGCAGGGGATTCTCAAAGTATGTTTGTTGAATAAATGAATGTTTAGCTACAGTTAACAGCACCCATTATTAAGGGCGTACCACCGGCCATACTGTGCCAATCACTTGATATCTTGTAGCAGAAATGCCTAATTTGATTCAATATTTTCTCTTCCTTCTTAAATAAAACTACAAATTTTAGTGGGAAACACTGCCGTCTAAGGTAGACCACCTTTCACCCTTTATCTCAGTAGACAGGTCTGGAATGCGACAGTGAAAGTAGAAGACTGAAGCAGCCATTCTGGGCTGCATGTTGAGGACAGCAGAGTCACAGAAATGAATCTGAATCTCACCACACCCACCCCAAATGGCCACCAGGACCACATGTAACAGAGAAATCAATTTTCATCTTGTACAAACCCCAGGAAATGTATGCTTCTTAGTTACCACATCTAAAACCAAATCCCAAATATCCTCATAAGACTTCTATGAGGTAGAACTATTATCCCCACTTCACAGAGGTAGAAACCAAGACATAGAGAAGTTAACTCACTTGCCTAAGGTCATAGGGTAGGAACGAAAGGAATGAGGATTCAAACCCAAGTAGATATCTCTCTGTTCCCAGCATGGTCCTCAAGTACTCAAAAATATTTGTGGGAATGAGTAAATGAGTACACGGACTCACACAGAGCTCTAAAAGAAGTTCCATATCCTCTCTGTGTCTAAGGGGCCTGACCTATAAATCGGAGAGATTCATACTCCCTCTAGCCTGTTCTTTCCACAAAAGAGAAGCTGAAAAACTACTTCCGGGCGAAAGGAGCAAGCAATGTCAAGTATCAGGGGTCCTGGCCATTCCCTGTTATAATTTCCCTATTTACAAGTGATTTCGAGAGTGTCCTCAGAGCTAAGCCAGAGAAAGGCACAAGCCTCAAGATCCCAGCTGGAAGGGATATCCTGGGGACCACAATGGACAGTTTGCTCCCACACCCCCTCATGAGCCCACCGGTTTTCATGGGGAGCCACTCACCCTTTCCTCTGGGGAACCTGAGCAAACACTCACCCAGTGGCTGGATAGCGGGAGGTGCGTTAACACTCTGGCCTGTTGGATCCGGGACTGCTCCTTGGCCATCCAACAACGACTGGACAGCCAGGACAGTCTGATTGTCCATTCCTGAAAAAAGAAAAGCAGCTGTTGGGAAGGTGGGCCCAGCCAGTATTCTGTTCCTACTATACCTTTATAAGCCAGACACCCCTGTGGCAAAAATGGCCAACTGTGCCTGGATACACATTCTCTCCTTCTTCTGCCATAGAATACAAGATTTTTGGACAAAACTAGGTACCAGAAGAAAGATTACCCTTTCCAGCTGCTCTTGCAGTTAGGGAATGTGTAAGTTCTGGCCAATGGGATATAAGTAAAGGGGTTCAATGGCACCTCTGGGAAAGTTTTCTTTTTTTTCTTTTTTAAAGATTTATTTATTTATTTATACAAGCACTGGGTACAGTCAGAAGCGTGGGAGGGTGAGAGAATTCACCAGAGCCAGACCAGGGAGCAGAGCACGCAGAAGGACCGAAGTACACTGCTGAGGGGAGCAGAGGGAGAGGTCTACACGCCATGTGGGACCCTCCTCCGGTGGCTGGGGAGCAGCCGGAGATGGAACCGGCGCCACGGAGGTTTCGGGCAGCTTCGCAACCCAGCGCTCAACCGCTGCGCCACCGGGGAGGCCCTCTGGGAAAGTTTTCTTAAAAGCTGATGCGTGACCCCCTTCTTTGTCATACCATCCATCCAGCATCCTAGAACCAGAATATGGTCATAGGATCATGAGGACATGGGCCATGTCATGGGACTACAGCGCAAAATACTGGAAAGATCCCAGGCAGCTGAGAAACTCATAGAACACAGCCACGCCCTCAGCTCCGGACTGGCTTCCTTGTCCAGCCTGTTCAAGACACCACTAAGACGGGCTCCTTTCCTGGCTGAATCTAACCCTCAGCAACACAGCCCCTCTAAAAACTATGTCACTGAGTCTTCCCCACACACACTTCCACAAATCCCACAGATCGATCTGGACTCCTTGTTTCCTTTGTTTTCAGACGTGTGCCTTTCTTTTCTGTTCTTCAATGAACAGTGTAATCAGAATCTGTGAAAGTTTTCTTTTTTTTCTTTTTTAAAGATTTATTTATTTATTTATACAAGCACTGGGTACAGTCAGAAGGGAGGGAGGGTGAGAGAATTCACCAGAGCCAGAGCAGGGGAGCAGAGCACGCAGAAGGACCGAAGTACACTGCTGAGGGGAGCAGCGGGAGAGGTCTAGAGGAGGGTTCTTGAGAAACTGACTACTTGGTATTTCTCAGCCCCTACCTGGCCACCTGCCCCAGCTTCTAAGCACGTGCAAATTAGAACCATTAGCTCCTGCAGCCAAACTGGATCCATACTTTGCCCAGTTTTGATGTAAGTCATTCCCTCCTGAGGCCAGTCTTCCTTTTCCTCCTGCTCCCTCAGAAACTTGCCACTTCCTGGCCCCTGTCTGCCCACTGTCTGCAACGTCTCCTTCCCATCAGCAGTTACACATGCTCAGGTCTCTCTAGAATGCCCTCCCTGAAAATACTGGCTCATCTCTCATCCCTGCAACAGCAAGCATCACAAGAGCCTTGTCTGTACCCTCCATCTCCTCTGCCCAGCTTCCAACCCTTCCCTACCCACTGTAGAGGGGCTTAAAGCCCCCACCATTTCACCCAAATCAGCAAAGCTCTCCTGGCAGTATCTAGCATTCCTTTCTCTGGCTCCAGTATGTCACCCTTCCCAGATCTTCTCCCACCTTTCTGCTGGCTCCTTCCTAGTCACCTCAACTCTCTTCTCCTGCCCACCCCCTAAATGTTTCCATTTTGAAAGGTTCCTTCTATCTGGACTCTTTCTCTTCTCCTTAAGTGGCCTCATTCACCCCTCTAGTTCAATATCTGGAGTCCCAAACCTGGGGTTCACGTTGCCCTGATTGCCGATCTATCATTTCACGCAAAGTTGTATGTTTGCATTTGTATGCAAATCTGTACATTTGTAGCAGTTTTATTATTAATAGTAAAAAACTGGGGACCTCCCTGGTGGCACAAGGCGTTAAGACGCAACCTATGAAACTATCCGCAGCCACTGTAGCACAAGTTTGATCCCCAGCCAGGGAGCTACCCACGTGGCACAGCAGACCTCTCCTGACTCGTCCGCTGCTCCCCTCAGCAGTGTCTTTCAGTCAGTCTGGCTGTTCTGTTCCCCATTCTGTTTCTGGTGAATCCTCTCACCCCCCACACCTCTGGCCTGTACCCCAGTTCTTATATGCATAAATAAATCTTTAAGAAAAATATTAAAAAACTGGAAACAATACAGATGTCCATCAATGGGTGAATGATGAAATCAACTGTGTTGTACCCCATGCCGGGTGCTCAGCGATTAAAAAGGGAAAAATTATTGATATACAAAACAACTTAGATTGTGTATAGCAAAAACACCCAAGTACAATTATGTTGAATGGAAAAATAGCCAATCTCAAAGGTTACAAACTACATGATTCTACATATATGACATTCTTGAAATGACAAGATTTTACAAATGGAGAACAGATTAGTGGTTGCCAGGCATCAGAAATGGGGGCAGAGGGTAAAGAGGTAGGAGTAGTTACAAAAGGGAACACCTTGTAGTGATGGAAATGTTCTGTGTAATTACATTGTGGGAAACTATGTAAAGGGAAGATGGGATCTCTCTGTATTAGTTTGTACAACTGCATGTGAATCTACTGAAAAAAAATTATTTCAAATTTAAAAACAATTTCAAAAATACTACCTATCAAAACTATGGAGACAATAAAAAGATTAGTGGTTACCAGGGCTGGAGAGGAGGGATAAATAGGCAGAGCACAGAGGATTTTTAGAGCAGTAAAAATACTCTGTAAGATATTTTTTTTTTTTAATAGAGGCATGTTATTTATTTATTTGTTTGTTTGTTTGCTTTGTTTATACATGCACTGGGTACAGTCAGAAGCGCGGGAGGGTGAGAGAATTCACCAGAGCCAGAGCGGGGAGCAGAGCAGGCAGAAGGACCGAAATACACTGCTGAGGGGAGCAGAGGGCGGCAGGAGAGGTCTGCGCGCCATGTGGGACCCTCCTCCGGTGGCCGGGGAGCAACCGGGGATTGAACCAGTGCCGCTAAGGCTGCGGGCAGCTTCGCAACCCAGCGCTCAACCGCTGCGCCACCGGGGAGGCCCTACTCTGTAAGATATTATAGTGACATTTACATGTTGTCAGTAGAACGTATACCACCAAGAGTGAACCCCAAGATAAACTACAGACTTTGGGCGATTATGATGTGTCAATGCAGATGCATCCTTGGTAACAACAGCATTCTGGTGAGGGGACTATGAGGCAGGTTCGGCATGTGTAGGGTGGGAGGAATAGAAGAAATCGCTGTATCTTTGTTACAGAAATCGCTGTAACTTTGTTGTGAAATTAGCACTGCTCTAAAAACTAATCTTTACAAAAATGCTGACTTTTTTCCTCTTTTGGTGATCCTCATCACACCACCACAAGGGCACAGCCCCTGGGGCACCTCTGGTTCTTCCATCAACCTGTCTCTTCACCCTCTCCCCAATTCTAGTCCTTCAGCAAATCTATCCTTTTCTACTCAGACGGCCATCCATTCTCAGGGAGACAACCGCAGGCACTTCCCTCACCTCTCCAACGCCACGCTGGCCCCCTCCAGTCTGTTCTCAGAGCAGCCAGGGTGAACTTCATAAAACATGCATCAGATTGTGTGGCTCCCCTGCTGAAAACCCTTTTTGAGCTCCATACTGATTCTAAGAAAAAGTTCAAAGGCTTCATCTGTAGTTGCTCATCCACATGAACTAGAATCCTAGAAGTCTTCTCTCTCTCCAGGGCACTGCAAAAGCAGTTTCCATGCCCTGGTCCTCTCTGGATACCTGCGGTTCTGTTGCCCTTCCCCTAGCTGGCAGGCATCACAGTCCTAGGAACTGATTTTTCTTTTAATTTCCTCATCATTATCGTTCAATCCAGGAACACATCATTTAAAAAAAAAATACTTTATCGTTGTTTTCTTTCTTCATAGCATTTTTTTTTTTTTTTGCATACAAGAACTAGGGTACTGGGGTGTATGCCAGAGATGCAGGGGGCAAGAGGATTCACCAAAGACCCAGTGGGGCACAGAAAAGGCAGATCTACTGAAATACAGTGCTAAGGGGAGCAGTGGGTGAGACAGGAGAGGTCTGCAGTGCCATGTGGGTTATTTCCCTTGTGGAGATCCAACTCATGTTGCAGACGCTGGCAACAGCTTGATAGCATTGTCTTTAACCCCTGTGCCACCAGGGAGGCTCCTAATTCTGTAATTTCTGTATCCTGGTATTTTGTGGGGCAGAAACTGTGAATGGTTCAAAAAGTATTCCTCAGTCTCTCCAGATGGGAGGCAGCAGGGTTATCCTATTTCATGGTGAGAACTCTGATCCTCCAAGTAAAGGGACATGGCTGAGTCTTCTGTGGAGTGGCAGAACTCAAAGTATCAGTCACATACCACCAGCCTGGCCTAGTTTACACTCTAATTATGGAAGTACTCATCTCATCATCACACAGCTCCAAGAACATTCTTGGGTCTGTATTCCACTGTGCCTACTTTGTGCCAAGGTCTGAAGTAGCCAAGGTCTCTTCCCGCCCCGCCCACCTGCCAGGGCGGCCAGCAGGTGCACAAGGAGGCACCGATCCTTCCTTGTGTGAGTTCGTAAAACTCTGCAGCCCAGCATGGTGCACACAGAAAGCAAGCAGTGTCTGTTGGTTTGGGCTGTGAACACCAGGTCCTAACACACAGGTGGCGTCTAGCCTTTCTGGGTTTGAGCTTGACAGACCACATCCTGGCACAAGGCGCACAACAGGAGCTCAAAACAAGTTCTTTGTGGTCAGGACGCCTGGCCCGGCTGCTCCGGCAGACAAGCCCACCCGGCTGCGCAGCGGCTCCTGCACCACGGGCCAGGCCCCGCCGGCCACCCTGGCCCGCCGGCCACCCTCGCCCAGACGCCCTCGGCCGCGGGGGGCTGCCCGCCCCGGCTGTTCCCTCAGGAAAGCCCCCCCCGCCGGCCGAGGCCCCGCGCCCGGCGCTGTTCCGGCCAGACCCCCACCCCCCGCGGCGCCCGCGCTCCCGGCCGCTTCCGTCCCGGGGCCCTGCCCCCGCGCGGCCTGCCCTCCCGCTGTTCCAGTCCCGCTGACCCCCCCGCCGGGCCTCGCAGCAGAGGCTGTTCCGGCCCCCAGCCCCACCCCCGCCCCCCAGCCGCCGAGCGGCCTCCCCGCGGCTGTTCCGGGCCCGCGCGCCCCCGCCTCCCGCCGGGCCTCAATTCCCGCGGCTGTTCCCGCGCGCGCCCCTCCCGCCCGCGGCTGTTCCCGTCCCGGCGCCCTCCGCCCCGCGGCCGCCGCACGCCCTGGGCCCAGCGCCGCCAGGGCGCGGCGGGAGGGGGCGCCACGCGGAACAGCCGCCTCCCCCGGCCCCGCCGCCGCTCACCCTCCAGGGCCTCGAAGATCGTCTGCGCCATCTTGGAGCCGCCGCCGCCGCCGCGGGAGCCGAAGCCCGGCTACGCGAGCATTGTGGGAGCCGCGGCGGCGGCCGGAGGGAGGCCGCCAGGGGGCGCCCGGGAGCCGCCGCCGAGGCCCCGGTGCGGGACACTGAGCGCGGGCTGGGGGGACGCCCGGGCCCCAGGGCAAGCCCAGCCCCGCCCGGAAGAGCCGCGCCGCCGCGCTGCGAACCCGCGACCCTGCACACCTCCTCCATGCCCGCTGCACGCGGGGACCTCCTCCCCGGGGTTTGGGCCTCAGCCCTTCCACCCCTGAACCCCGGCTCTGTGATCCAGACCCCCGACCGCGCCACACGTGACCCCAGCCCTGCAGCAGGGACCTTGTTTCCATCGCACACAGCATCCCCCGCCTTTGCGACGTCCACCTCCGTTTCTGCCTCACCCCCTGTGTCCACCTAACACAGGACCCCTGACTTTCACATGCCATTAACCCAGTGACCTCAGGGTCTCATCATCTGTCCCTGCAAGAGTTTTTCACTGTAACTGCTCTTTTCTTTTTTTATTTTTCTTAAGGATTTATTTATACAAGAATGGGGTACAGGCCAGAGGCACGGGAGGGTGAGAAGATTCACCAGAGACAGCAGGAAGCAGACGACCAAAAACACGGCTGAGGGGAGCAGCGGGCGAGACAGGAGAGGTCTGCTCGCCATGTGGGTGCGCCCTGGCCGGCTGCGGACCGCTTCACAGTGCGGCGCTCAACCTGCTGCGCCACCAGGGAGGCCCTCTTTTCTTTTTTAAAAGCATTCAAGGAATATCTTAATACATTTGATTTATTATTATTATTACTAATATTGTTGTATTTTTAATTAGCAAAACAAAACATTTGAAATGGGTTTCTGGAATAACCATTTGTTCTTTTTTTAAAGATTTATTTATTTATACGAGCACTGGGTACAGTCAGAAGCGCGGGAGGGTGAGAGAATTCACCAGAGCCAGAGCAGGGAGCAGAGCAGGCAGAAGGACCGAAGTACACTGCTGAGGGGAGCAGCGGGCGGCAGGAGAGGTCTGCGCGCCATGTGGGACCCTCCTCTGGTGGCCGGGAAGCAGCCGGGGATCGAACCGTCGCTGCAGAGGCTGCGGGCAGCTTCGCCACCCAGCGCTCAACCGCTGCGCCACCGGGTAGTGTACCTCTCCTTAAACTTGACGTTGGCCTTATGTTTAAGAGCAGGGCCTCTCCGGTGGCGCAGCAGTTGAGCACTGGGTTGTGAAGCTGCCCGAAGCCAAAGCCTCTGAGGCGCCGGTTCGATCCCCGGCCGCTCCGCGGCCACTGGGGGAGGGTCCCACATGGTGCGCAGACCCCTGCCGCCCGCTGCTCTCCTCAGCAGTGTGCTTCAGTCCTTCTGCCTGCTCTGCTTCTGGCTCTGGTGAATTCTCTCGCCATCCCGCGCTTCTGACTATACCCAGTGCTTGTATAAATAAATAAATAAATCTTTAAAAAAAAAAAAAAAAAAAAAAAGAGCAGGGCCTCTCAAGACATCCTGTTGAGGTTAAAGACCATTTTGCCCAAGAGGATATCCAAAGAGTACCTTGTGAACATGAGGTGACTGTAGTTACAATTTTTCACAGAAGAATTTTACCTTTGACCTCTGGCGATTTTCTTGCCCATGGCGACTGTGCAGGTATAGTCATCACTTCCAGGCTGCGGGGGCAATCTGAGGTGTCATCATGGATGTTCTTTACAGTCTCCATTTTGCATCAGGAGTAGCATCTAACCAGGTCACCACCACATTCCCAGGTTTTTCAAATTTGCCCATTTCCACAGGAGCTACAGCAGAAAGGAAGGAGCAGCATTTCCACTGACCTTTTACCTCAAGGAATGCATTCATTTAATTGTGCAAAGGCCCTGAGGCCAAAACCAGTAGGGAGAAAGGAAGGAGTAGAGGAATCTGGGTGTAGGTTAGAGTCATGGTCAGAGTGGAGAACAGAAAAGGTGGACTCATTGAAACACACTGCTAAGAAAAGCAGCAGCAAAACAAAAAACATCTACTATACTGAAAGTGAGGGTTCCAAGGCTTGATTTAAACTCTAGGCATCATTGATTGGTTAGGGTGACTAGTCTTGTGTGGTTTCTGACTCCTGATGCAGATGATCAGTGTAATGGATCAGTTCCCACAGGGCGGTCCCACCCACTCCCTTTCTCCATTTAAGCCTCCTAAACTTGCTTGCTGGGCAAGAGTTGGGTGCTTAGTTTTTAAATTTAATAATGACACCCATGACAAAAATGAAAGACCAAAGCCTGTCAGGGTCAACTGAGGATAAGTGAACATGGGTACAGGAGCATGAGGGTGGAGAGACAGACAGGCCACAACAAGAGTTTCTGTTTTGTTTTAAGGGTGACGGGAGGCGCTCCACAGTAAAGGAGTCCACCAGTCCCTGAGACCTTGGCAGCTTTCCATGTATTTCCAAGTGCATATATACATAGTTGCTTTTTATCTGCTCTTCAGGTCTTTGCACAGTATTTTCTTACCACCCTCAAAGGGACAATGGGACCTTGGCTTCTTGCCTCCTTGCCTCCTCTAAGAAGCTTTCCCTGGTCTCTCTGGATGGAGTTGGTCCTCCCCTAGTTTCCGACAGTATTTGTTATTATATCTATCATGTCATACTCTTTAGCCATTGAAATTCCCCTTTTCTCAACCCCCTCAGTAAGGAAGCCACTGACCAGGTAAGGTGCTTCACCCATTCTACCTGGTTCTCAAGACCTGATACAAGAGGCAACCTGGGAAATGCTTGTGGCTTGTTGATTGACTATTTGACTGATGGAACAAATGAATCAGCTTTTTTTCCCTCTCACCTTCATATCTTCCTCCACCAAAACCTATCAGTCCTGTGTCCCATTTCCTCAGGGTGGACTGATTGGCATTGAACCAGAACTAATCGCAGCTTAGAGATTCTGGGGTATGGGGTAAGTAATGTGGTAACACCAGGAATGCAGCCAAGTGGGCAGGAGGGAAAGTTTGGGAAACTTCCAGTTTCCTCCTCCACAATGGGCGCTCCAACCACTCCAGAAAAGTCAGTTTCCCTTTTGGGAGGGGAGGAATCATGAGCAGCTTCCACTAGACTTCCAGCAGCTAGGGGAGAAAAGTGAGGCTATAAAAACAAATGTTGGGCCTCCCTGGTGGCACAGCGGTTGAGCAATGGGTTGCGAAGCTACCCGCAGCCTCTGCAGCGCCGGTTCGATTATGGTGCACAGACCTCTCCTGCCGCCCGCTGCTCCCCTCAGCAGTGTACTTCGGTCCTTCTGCCTGCTCTGCTCCCTGCTCTGGCTCTGGTGAATTCTCTCATCCTCCCGTGCTTCTGACTGTACCCAGTGCTTGTATAAATAAATAAATCTTTCAAAAAAAAAAAAAAAAGACAAATGTTACACCATGAAATCTGGTAAGATTTTTAAGTATTGGTAGTAGGCAGCAAATGCATAATTTTAGGGCCTAAATTGTGTCCTTCCCCTCCCCACAACTCATGTTGACATTCTAAATCCTAGTACCTCAGAACATCACTAGTATTTAGGGATAGGGCCTTAAAGAGGTAAAATTAAGTCAATAGGTGCACCCTAAACCAACATGGCTGGTGTCCTTATTTAAAAAAAAGAAAAAAGATTTCGGCATACACATAGACTGAGAGGTGACCATGTGAGGACACAGTGAAAAGGCAGACAGCTGCAAGCCGAGGAGAGAGACCTTAAAAGAAACTGAACCTGCAGACACCTTGATTTTGTGAAAAATTGAATTCCTGTGGTAGAATTCAGCCTTAACAAACCAATAAAACAGTGGGTAAGATCAGATTCTGGGGGCCTTCCTGGTGGCTCAGGGGGTAAGTCTCAGCACTATCAAGCTATCACCATCCACTGTAGCGTGAGTTCAATCCCCAGCCAGGGAGCTAACACAATTGCCACAGCAGAACTCTCCTGTCTCTCCCACTGCTCCCTCAGCAGTGTATTTCAGTCAGTCTGCCTGTTCTGCTTCCCACTCTATCTCTGGTGAATCCTCTCACCCCGCCCCCACCTCAGGGCTACACCCCAGTTCTTGTATGCACAAATAAATAAAAATAAATCTTAAAAAAAAAAATCAGATTCTGGTGTCTGGGGGAGTTTGTATTCCAATCATGACTCTATCACTTGCTTCTCTGTGTGCTTTTCCCGTAATAAGGAGGTCTGGTCATAGAACCAACCACAAGGATTGCTATGAAAATGAAATGGTTAATAAACACTTAAACAATTCTTGTACATAACAATTACTTTGTAGGTGCTTGTTAAATAAGTGTGATTTTTCTGGGCAAAGGTGAATAAACAGGTCCTACCCTAAGGAATTCAGAATTGTGTACAATTTTAAAAAGTCACCAGGAAATGATAAAGGTTTTCAAATGGCAACTCTTTAACCTTAGCATCCTGGGAGGTCTTTGAGAGCGGAAACATTAATCTCTGTGAGAAATGGTTAGCAAAAGATAGCACTCAGGAAGAACATGCAGAACCAAATAGTTTCTAAACACCCTCTCCCCATCTAGGTCAAGTAGTAGGGCTTGGTCGCTGGACCTTTGTAGAAGAATCAGGTGATATTTCCAGAAGTTCTGTTTGCTTTCCTTTCAAATTTTACATATTTTTAAAAATATGGTTTTCTATTTCCTGTAGCTATTTTCTAGCTTTAAATCTTATGTGCACATTTTAAAAAACTGTGTCTATGGATTATAATACCTGAAGTCTGTGTAGACCTATTGCATTGCTCCCATGTATTGTGTCTATTTTTTTAAAATTAATTTATTTATTTATACAAGCACTGGATATAGTCAGAAACGCGGGAGAGTGAGAGAATTCACCAGAGCCAGAGGATGGAATAGAACAGGCAGGCTGACAGAATACACTGCTGAGGGGAGCAGCGGGCTCGGCAGGAGAGGTCTGTCTTGCCATGTGGGACCCTCCTTGGGGGCCAGGGATCAAACTGGCGCTACAGAGACCGTGGGCAGCTTTGTATCCCAGCGCTCAACCGCTGCACCACCAGGAGAGGCCCTTTTTTTGCTTCTTCATGAAGTCTTAGCTACCTGGTTATCTCTGACTGTGTGCTCATTATTCCCTTGAAAACCATTTGTAGTGGTTCCCTAAAGCCAAAACTAGACGTGCCCTTCTGCAGCGAACCTTTGCATTTGCTTTCTGCCAAGGATTTCCAGTCAGTAATCACCTAAAATCAGGTTCCCAGTTCATGACTTGAGATTTCTTGGACTACCGGGCTTTACTCCTTCCCAAGGAAGGGCTTTAAAAAAATCCTCTTTTTCCCTTTCCTTCAACTGTTCTGCTCCGTCAGGGCAATCTTTTCTGAACTCCCTTGAGGCTAGTAGTTTGGGATATCCAGCAGGTTAAACTTGAGGGCAAAACTTTTTGGGGTCAACACTTAATGTGAGGAGATTCTTCTGTAAAACTCCCCACTGCAGACATAGCTTAGACATAACTCCCCACTCCCCATAACAGACATCCATCTGTCCATCCTTCTGTCCATCTGACCCTGCACGGTTGATAAACTGAAACTCATAGCTCCAATAGTGTAAAATGCCCTCATATCATAAGTTAATTTACTCTTCCAATATCCAGTCATTTTATTAACTGGCTTTTACCCAATCATTGATGTGCACATTGTCCAGACTTTTACGCATTTCAGTGCTTTTCAGAGGGTATTTTTATGTTTTATCTAATGTTGCTACTATTTTCAGAGGAAGGATTACCTGAATAAACCAGTCTGACATTACAAAAGAAAAAAATCCAGTTTCAGTGATAAAATAGGCCAATCATAATTTCTTTTCATTTACCTCTGACTTTGACCCAGTCAATAATGTCACAGATAAATATCACATTTCCCATGTTCAAGGGATACCCTCACAAGTCAGAGTCACCACTCAGCATGTTCTCCAAAGACTATTCCACACTGTGACATCATGTGTAAATATCACCTATCAATACTCTGAGATATAACCCAAAACTATATCTTTTCAACAAGCATATGTTGGGTACACACCATGTGCTAAGTGCAGGTGTTACAGTAGAAAACAAGACAGATAAATTTTCTGCCTTCATAGATTTATGGCCTTGTAAGGGCAATGAACATAGAGTGAACAATTCCAAAGAGCTAAAGTTTTATGAAGAAAATAAAAAGGAGTGTCTCCCTGGTGGTGCAAGGGGTTAAGCACTGCACTATGAAGCAATCCACAGCCTCTTCAGCACAAGTTCAATCCCCATCCTGCCAGGGAGCAAACCACATGGTGAAGCAGACCTCTCCTGCCTTGCCTGCTGCTCCCCCAGCAGTGTGTTTCAGTCAGCCTGTCTGTTCTGTTCCCCACTCTGTCTCCGGTGAGTCCTTTCATCCCCCACATCTCTGGCCTGTACCCCAGTTCTTGTATGCGTTAATAAATAAATCTTTAAAAAGAGAAGAAAAAAGAGTCAGAGAGTGGGCAGTGATACTTTAGAGGGAATAGCTGGGACGGACTCTCTGAGGAGGTGGCATCTGAGCTGAAACATGAATGTCGAGGAGACTGTCATGGGAAGAACTGGGGTGGTGCATAGAGTGGGGAGAAATATCCGAGTGTGGCCAGGTTCATGGGGGTGAAAGAATTCACCAGAGACAGAGTGGAGAACAGAAAAGGCAGATTTATTGAAATACCTGGCAAGGGAGCAGGGAGCAAGATGGGAGAAGTCTGTGCATGAGGGAGGATTTGAGATGCTGTTTTATATTCTGCTTTCTAACTTGGGATGCCATTTTGCACCCAGTTATCTGCTTTGGATGTCTGGTCTCCTGAACAGGCCTTTGATACAGAAACATGACCTTGCCCCTGCTTCTGTGTTCCTGGAGCTGGGCTGGTTTTCCTGGTCATTGTGGTCAGTTGGATGGCCTTGTCCCAAGGCAGCTTTATCAATTTCCTTATCTATTCAAGCCTCCCAAAGCTGCCTGCTGGGCAGAGAGAGTGGAGGTTAGTTTTGTTTTTTTTTTTTTAAGATTTATTTTTATTTATTTATACAAGCACTGGGTACAGTCAGAAGCACGGGAGAGTGAGAGAATTCACCAGAGCCAGAGCAGGGAGCAGAGCAGGCAGAAGGACCGAAACACACTGCTAAGGGAAGCAGCGGGCGGCAGGAGAAGTCTGCGCACCATGTGGGACCCTCCTCCAGTGGCTGGGGAGCAGCCAGGGATCGAGCCGGCGCTGCAGAGACTGCAGGCAGCTTCGCAACCCAGCGCTCAACCGCTGCGCCACCGGGGAGGCCCTGGAGGTTAGTTTTTAACCTTATTAAATTGCACCAGACAGTGCACACCAAGCAAGGAAAGAGCAAGGTCAAAGTGGCTGAGGCAGGAGCATTCTTGGCGTGCTGAGGTTAACAGCCAGACCATTTTGGCTGCAGAGAAGTGATGATGGGGCGAGTGACCAGGCCATGAAATTAGAGAGGAAAGCAGGGGCCAGAGGGTACTGTCTTCTCTTGTGGCCAGGGGAAGGAGTTTGTACTTTGAGAGTAGATGTTAGCCAGTGAGAGTGCCAAGTGATTCAGCTCTGAGATCCTTAGGATCCTGTCTGTGCTCATGTGTACACATGAGGCCTGACTCCTCCCAGAGTCACAAACAACCCGTCTTTCATTCCAGCTCTAGGTAGGCGGGTCCTCTTTTAGGAAGCCTTTGGAGCCCACAAGTGACACACCCCCTAAATCCGAAGGAAACAAGCTTTCTGACTGGGCAAATCCAGGCGTGTGATTGTAACTTTCCCTGGGGCGGAGCCAACTGTGATTGGTTACAATGTCTTCCTTCTCTTCCAATCAGATCGCTACTCGGGGTCTCGTTAGCCTTGTGAGTGAGTACGCTCTGTGATTGGCTGTCTCGGGATGAGTGACAGACGATACATCCTGTAGTACAAGGGGGCGGCGCTGTCAGGGGCCTTGGGCTGCCGAGGCTGGGCAGCGCTGCCGGAACCGCAGGCTGTCAGCGAGCTCCTGGCTGGGTGCCCCCGACCCCGAGCGCCGTCCGCGATATGGCCGCCCCGCCGCAGCTGAGAGCGCTACTCCGGGTGGTCAACGAACTGCTGCGCAATCGCCGCTACCACGCTGCGTTGGCTGTGCTTAAGGGCTTCCGGAACGGGGCAGTGTGAGTGGAGCGGCCGGGGCTGAGGGGCAGGCCGGGTTGGGGTCAGAGGCGGGTTTCGGGCCTGGCACCCTCGGGCTCTGTGCCCTTGAGCAGCCCTAGTTTGTGGTCAGGTCTCCGTGTCCACCGTCCACACAGTGGGCACTGGATAGTGAGTTCTGGGCGCCTTGCGAGCCAGGGCTCCTGCAGCGCTGCTTTCTGGATCCCCCAGGTGCTTTGTAAACTGGCCCTCTTGTCTTGACCACCGTCCATGCCACCCCCATGGCCCCTCCTTTGGAGCCATATCCCATTCCCCCTCTCCGTTGTGTGCCCTTGGGCCTGTCTGTTTTCTGTGGCCCCAGTTGCACAACGGGAAGATGGCTTCTGGCCTCTAGCAGGCCGGTGGGAACTCCTGCCTATCCTCCCTGCATTGAACTGCCCGGTGGGATCACATCCCACTTCTCATTCCTTGTCTGTGTGACTCTAGGGCTAAGTTCCCTTCTGGAACAGAGGACTCCTAGAGCATAAACCTCAGGAGTGGCAGTAAATGTAAAAGAAACTGCAAATACTTGCTGGGCAAATTGATTTCACTGTTGCCATAAGATCTGCAGGAGAGGTCTTGGGGTCATTTTGCCTGGCTGGTGGCTGAAAGGGTTTTGACTTCCTTTAATTGATCAATTGAGGTAACATTGGTTTTCTGTATATGATTCAGAGGTATAGGACCACACCTCCTTTAAACCTCAAGCACAACAGATATCATTTACTGAGACTTACTGTGGCAGAAATGGGGACACAGCAGAGAGCAAACCCAACAGATCAGTATCCTCCTGGAGTTGGCATCTAGAGATAGCATGGCAAGGTGGTGAGGGTGTGGACTGTCTCCTGTTTAATTCTGGTGCCACCTACCTAGTGATCTTGAGCAAGTCCATTTAGCCTCTCTTAGCCTCCATTTCCATAAAATGTGAATGATATACTATTTATATCAAACTGTCAGAGGATTGAGTCAGTATGTGTGAAATGTTTAGAAAGTGTCTGATATATGCTGGCTGCTGTAATTATTGTTATATTCACATGGGTGTCTGCCTGTCTCACTCCCCTCACCTTCTCCAGACCTCTGCTTAAGTGCCAATGAGGCCATCCCTAAACACCCCACCTCTTCCCTACTTAACTTTTCTCCATTGTGCTTGTTTTCTCTATAGTGCTCATCTGACACTGAGTAGTTTTACGCATATATTCTGGTTTCATATGCCTCGCTCATTAGAAAGTGAGCTTCATGGAACAGGAATTTTTCTCTATTTCTTGGTTTTTAGTAGGCTTTCAAATATTTACTGAATGAATGAATTATGTGTGCAAGGTAAGAATTGCTGTTATCCCCATTTTACAGATGAGAAAACTGCCTCAGAGAGGTAAACTCATTGCTCATGGTCACAGCCCTTTGTTAGTGTTAGAGCCAGGATTAAAACTCAGAATATCTGACCCCAATGCCAGGCTCTTGGCTTCTGTGGGCACCAGAGTCAAGTAGCAGTTTTTTCTCTGAGTCTGGCCAGATCATATCAGCCATGCCATGGTGTGACCAGGGTAGAGCGAACCCTTAGATAACATGAGCAGTCTTTTGCCCTGCAGAATATGCTCAGGGCAAAGCATGAGTGACTATGTGTCACACAGGCCCTGGTGCCACTGGGCATTGCCCAATGTTGACTTTGGATACCTGCTCTTGAGGTGCTAACATACCATGGCTAAATTATCATGGCTAAACTCCTTAATGTTGACTACAGTCAATAGTCAAATTTCCCAGTTGCTTCTCACTTGATTATCCTTAAGATAGTGAAGGTAAGTGTGAAGGGGAATGTGGTCTTTTTTTTTTTTTTTTTTTTAATTTATACAAGCATTGGGTACAGTCAGAAGTACAGGAAGGTGAGAGAATTCACCAGAGCCAGAGCTGGGAGCAGAACAGGCAGACTGACGAAATACACTGCTGAGGGGAGCAGTGGGCATGGCAGGAGAAGTCTGTGCGCCATGTGGGACCCTCGCCAGCGGCTGGGGATCGAACCGGCGCTGCAGAGGCTGAGGGCAGCTTTGCAGCCCAGCACTCAACCGCTGCGCCACCTGGGAGGCCCATGGTCTTTTTTTTTTTTAAAGATTTATTTATTTATACAAGCACTGGGTACAGTCAGAAGCGCGGGAGGGTGAGAGGATTCACCAGAGCCAGAGCGGGGAGCCGAGCAGGCAGAGGGACCGGAGTACACTGCTGAGGGGAGCAGCGGGCGGCAGGAGAGGTCTGCGCACCATGTGGGACCCTCACCCCACGGCCAGGGATTGAACCAGCGCTGCAGAGGCTGTGGGCAGCTTCGCAACCCAGCGCTCAACTGCTGCGCCACCGGGGAGGTCCGGTCTTTTTTATTTTTAAAGATTTATTTATCTATGCATACAGAGCTGGGGTGCAGGCCAGAGGTGTCGGGGGTGAGAGGATTCACCAGAGACAGAGTGGGGAACAGAACAGGAAGATCTACTGAAATACACTGCTGAGGGGAGCAGGGGGCAAATCAGGAGAGGTCTGCTGCACCATGTGGGTTGCTCCCCGGCTGGGGGATCGGACTTGTGTTGCAGAGGCTGCAAACAGCTTCATAGGTTGCGTTTTAACCCCTTGCACCACCAGGGAGGCCTGAAGGGGAATGTGGTCTTGAGCACATCATCCCCAGAGATTCATATGAGGAGATGGAAGGAGGGTCAGGGGACTTTTTGCCACATCTGCCTTGAGAATGAAGATCATTCTCAGCAATCAGGTTGTCCATGTTCCAGAAAATCTGACATCTCCCTGAAGGGATGCGCTGTTATTGTGAAGAGTCCCAATGGTAGGGGGACTTCAGTCACATCAATGTCAGCTCAGTCTTCTTGGAAAGGAAAGGAAGAGGCTCTGGGTGGACAAAGGGTGGGGGATAGAAAGGAACTGGCTGACGTTTGTTCTCTCTGTAGCCATGAACAGAACGTGATCAAGGGTGTTCCACAGGCCTGATACAAGATGATATCTGTGCACGCTCACTTCACATCAGGAAAATGGGTCTTTTGTTGAAGTCTGAAAATTCTTGGGTGAAAAATACACTCACAGGATTCAGGGGAGTCCAGGAATTACTTGTTCAGTATCTCAAGTCCAGAATGATTAGTTAATTCTGGAAGGAGAAGACATTGAACTTGTATCTAATTTAATGTCTCGGCTTTGACTCAGCAAGCCACAGTTAAAAACAAGGATATCATGAAATTTTGGGTATCTGTATTTCTGAAAAAGAAACAGTCAAGCAGGCTAATGAATAAGAACTAAGTTACCCAGCTACAGAAACAGTGAGATGCTGGATGATTCCTTAGACCTCTTTGTGATATATCTTTAAGATGCTGTGCAAGTCATTGTTGAAAAGAAAAAGATAGAAAGGATGGTGGCGGAAGAGGTGTGAATCTTGAAAAGAAGTACTTATGAAACATTCATATGCATTTTAATCATTTTAATTTTATTATTATTTTTAAAGATTTATTTATACAATACCTGGGGTACAGGCCAGAGGCTTGGGAGGGTAAGAGGATTCACCAGAGACAAAGTGGGGAGCAGAACAGGCAGACTGACAAAATACATTGCTGAGGGGAGCAGCGGGCGAGTCAGAAGAGGTCTGCTGCGTCATGTGTGAATCTCCCTGGCTGGCCAGGATTTGAACCAGCACTGCAGAGACTGCAGACAGCTTCACAGCACTGCACTCAACCTGCTGCACCACCGGGGAGGCCCTCATTTTAATTTTAAAAGCAATCCTTAATCTTAGATCTTTTGGAAGTATAGAAAAGTTTCGAAAACAGACAAAAATAAATTCCCATATTACTCCAGCCCAGAGGACATTGCTAATAACATGATGGCATATTTCCTCTGTGTTTAGTAGTATAGCAGTTGGAAAGAGGTACATTTTGAACAAGTAGAGGGAAGTACAATGTTAATTAGCAACTATTTTAGGGAATTTAAGTTAACTTATGTTAGGAAAGTTAACTAAGTTTAAGGTGGACCAAGCTAGAGAGGGAACCCTCTGGAGATTCATAGGATTCCATAGGTAATTAAGGGCTGTTCTAGAATCAATGTATGAGCACAATTTATTGTCAAGCATAGTTCTGCGTCTTAATCCCTTGTCTTAATCCCTTGCGTCACCAGGGAGACCCCTCCCATATAGGAATTTTAATCAGCCTCTGAGGTCTGACATTCCCTTTAACTGTTGGGCAAACCAAGGCTCATTTATTTGAAGTTAGATGACAAGCCAGAGACCACTCTACCAAAGTATCAGGGGTGGGATTTGAACCCAGATCTAGCTAAAAAGCAAGCATTAGTTCCGCTCCCCAAATGATGGGAGGATTAGGGGTGGGGAAAGGGGACAGAGTCAAGGAGAGAACCCAGAATGAAACTGATGTAGTGATGCCGCAGTAATTGGTTTTTTGTTTGTTTGTTTCTATAGCTACGGAGTCAAAATCCGGGCTCCTCATGCGCTGGTCATGACCTTTCTCTTCCGGAATGGCAGGTACTGACCCCACACCTCTACCTCCTCCTGGGATCTCTCTCAGGCTGTTAGAAAATGTGGTCAGCTCTCAATGCTAGGATGGTTGCAGTAGTTTACTAGCTGGGCCTACCCTGACCCCTTGCTACCACTACCTCTTAAAGGACAACTGTTATCCCAGTTTGAAAACTGCCCTGGTTCCCCACTGGCCTCCAGAGAAGCCCACCTTATTGGCATGACCTTCCAGACCCTCTGCAGTCTGACCTCAACTGCATCCCCACAGTACTCTCCTCCGTCCACTCTGGGGTGTCCTGGGCATTCCAGGCACAGGCCACATGTGGCTCCCCTTCCATACATTGGCTCATGCAGTGCCCCCACCCTCCACCACACACCAGGAATGCCCTTTCGTCTTCCACCCACCTTTATTTCCATCCTAACCACCCACACCATTTCTCATTACTCCCTAAAATGTCTTGCCCTCCCTCTGATCTCCCATAACTCTTCCCTCAAGGGACTTCTCAGAAACCGCTTGTAGTCTAGTTTTTAGCCTCATCTGGAGCTTACCAGAATCAACCAGGGGTATCCTTCTGGCCAAAACCAGCCAATAATTTTCTCTTTCTGTATTCTCATTTTATTTATCTATGTTTGTTTGTTTTGGGTTTTGCCCTCCCATTTTTTAAAAAGTTAACTTCGAGTTTTGCTAAAAACTCATCCAGTAAATATTTGTTGAGCATTTTCTATATTCCAGACACTTTTAAGTGCTAGGTATATAGCAGTGAACAAAATTTACCATGATTGCTGCCTTCCTAAAGTTTGTGTTCTAGCAGGTGGTGGCAGAAAATAACTGGAGGAAGTAAGGAAAGCATATCGTATGCTAGAAGGCAGTGCAGGCTGTGGGAGGAAGGCAAGGGGGCTGATCATGCTGAAGGAGGGGCAGGCTGCAGAACTAAATAGGGAAGGCTTCATTAAGAAAGTGACATTCGATGGAAGACTTCCAGGAGAACAAAGAGTTAGCCAAGTGGGTATCAGAGGAAAGCATGTTTCAGGTCAAGGCAGCAGTCAGTGCAAAGGCCCTGAGGTGAGTTTGAGGAAGCTGTAAGGGAGGTAGTGAAGGGGAGAGAACAAAGAGAAGATCACAGGGTGACCTGGGTGAATTATGTCTAGCTTCAAGCCGTAGAGAGAAGTTTGAATTTTCTTTTAAGTAAAACATGAATTTGTTGTAAGATTTTTTTTGCAGGGATATATCACTATTTGAGTAATCTTTTTTTTAAAATTAATTAATTTATTTATATAAGCACTGGGTACAGTCAGAAGCGTGGGAGGGTGAGAGAATTCACCAGAGACAGAGCTGGGAACAGAACAGGCAGACCGACGAAGTACACTACTGAGGGGAGCAGCGGGCGGCAGGAGAGGTCTGCGTGCCATGTGGGACCCTTGCCTGTGGCTGGGCATCGAACCGGCGCTGCAGAGGCTGCAGGCAGCTTTGCAGCCCAGCGCTCAACCGCTGTGCCACCAGGGGAGGCCCTATTTGAGTAATCTTTTGATATGAGAGTGAAGAGTTTGCTGCCAGATTAAGAAGTCGGGGACAGCATAAATTAGGAGGCTGTAGTAATAATATGGTTAAGATTGTGGCTTGAATGTTGGTGGTGGCAGTGGATGTGAGAAGTGGTCAGGCTCCAAACACTCTGAAGGTGGGATTAGTGTCAGCATTTAAAAACTGGGAAATCCAGCTCGCTTGCCCTGCAACTGGAAATGCTCAGCCCATATGCCTGTGGGCACAGAACCAGCTGACTCCTGACTGTCTATTCTCACCTAGCAGATTGCCACGGGGCTCAGTAGACCCACTTCAAGGTCTTATCCTGTCTGAGGGCATTCAGTGTCCCTGAACTGATCTCCCAGAGTACAGTCTGTTCCTCTCCTTTGTTCTCCTCACTGCCTGCTAGTGATTTTTAAAAGATTAATCAATCATCCGAATTACTGTTCACTTCTCAGCATAAAGACAAAATTCAGCTTGGCTCCACCTCTACTATATAGCCTGCACCTCATGTGTTCTCTGCTCAGGCCTTGAGGATTTCTCTCTGCTCCTTTACTCCCCACTCTGCCCTTCTCCAGGACCTTTGCATATGCTGATTCCTCTACCTGGGATGCAACACCTCTCCCCTTTTGACCTCATGACTCCTCATCCTTCAGATCCCAGGATCATCTCTTGTCAAGGTCACAGCTTGACCCTTGTTTTATGATTATTTTATGTATCTTTTTCCCGTTGATCATAACTTCATGAGGGCAGCAAGCAGATTTGTTTATTTTCTTTTCCTGAGATTTCTGCTCTCCCAGCACGTATTATATACTCACTCATTCATTTCCTTACATATTCACTCAAAAAAAAAAAAAAAAAAAAAACCCAACACCTCATATTGAGTATCTAGTGTGTGCCAGGCCCTGTTCTGCTTCCTTATCATGAACAAGCCAGATATACACACATATACATACACATCCCATGGTGGATTCCACGGGATGTAGAAGAGGTGGGGGCACATAATAAAATAGTATATAAATGTTAGTGCTATGAACGAAAAGTAGGCTAAGGGAACAGAGTGAGATAGACATTCTTTTATGTAGGGTGATGAGGGAAGGCCACTCTGAGGAGGCAGCATGGAGTGAGGCCTGAATCAAGTGAGCAGGCAGCCCCCAGGACTTGGAGGTTGGGGGCCTGGGGTTGAACGAGCATCAGTCTGTGAGCTTCTTGCTGATTCGGTTTTGTTGACCTGTGGGTGAGTGCCTTGGAGTAGCTGGGCCTGTGCTCATGGTGGCTTACTGTGTTTGTGCAGCCTCCGGGAGAAGCTGCAGGCCGTCCTACAGGCCACATACACCCATTCCCGGAACCTGGCCTGCTTTGTGTTTATCTACAAGGGGCTCTGTGCCCTGCAGTCCCACGTGCAGGGAGAGACCCACCAGGTGCACTCATTCCTGTCTGCCGTCATCGGGGGCTTCCTGGTGTTTGGGGACAACAATAACATCAATAGCCAGGTAACATCCTGGGATGGGGTTGGGGTCCAATGTGGTTCAGGTGTAGCAGTGGGTGTGGGGGTTGAAGTTGAGCTCTTGGCACCCTTCTGGGTCAGAGGGTCTCTGATTCACTGGTCCCTATGTGACAGGTCACTTCCCCTTCACCTTCCCCATCTGTAAACCCAGGAGCTAGTTGGAATTCCACAGTTCTCAGAATCAGTATGTGTGCTATTCTATGGGGCAAAGGTTTTTATTTATTTATTTTTAATTTGTTAAAAGATTTATTTATTATGCATACAAGAACTGGGGTACAGGCCAGAGGTACGGGATGGGGGGAGAGGATTCACCAGAGACAGAGTGGGGAGCAGAACAGACAGATGACTGAAATACACAGCTGAGGGGAGCAGCAGATGAGTCAGGAGAGGTCTGCTGTGCTTTGTGTGTCAGCTCCCTTGCCAGGGATCAAACTTATGCTGCAGTGGCTGCAGATAACTTGATAGTGCTGAGTCTTAACCCCTTGCACCACCAGGGAGGCCCTTTTGTTTGTTTTTTAATGAAATAATGATGAAACTAAATACCATTTGTCATATTTATGTCCTTGCGCAATATAAAAAGTTGTCTTTCTCAAATTTTGTAAATATTCTCAAATTTTGTAAATATTAAAAGATGCAGACTAAGCACCTCCTAATGTGCCTGGTATACTTCTAGGTCATGATAAAATTAGAAAATAAATTGAAAATAAAGTCTCCACCTCCCTCCAGTTGTGAAACCACCACCCAGACAGTTTCGCAAAGTTACGGGTGTCTGTGCTTCTGAAATCGTCTGTATTCTCTCAACATACACTAGGAGTTTTCCACCAAAGAAATTATCTGCTTTTTTTTTTTTTTCACATAATGGATCTTGAGACCTCTCTTGTCCATCCCTCATTTCTTGAGTTCACTGTTATTTTCTGAGTATATATTTCTGGATAGGTTTGTTTATTTAGCTTTTTGACATTGCATGCATTTCTGCTTGCATGTTATCAGTCTATAAGTTCCTAGAATTGGAATTGTGGAGTCTATGGATGTGAGCATTTGGTATTTTGAGACAGTTTCCCCAGTTTTATTTTTTGTTGGGAATTCCACTGGTCTTTGAACTTCCAAAGTCCAGAAATCCTGGTCACACTCATGTCCTGCCCCTTCCCTACCTTTTCCTGATCCCAGGCAACAACTATTCTGACATCCTGTCCAGTCCTTTAAAAAATGTCATTTAGGGCCTCCCTGGTTGCACAAGGGGTTAAGCACAGCACCGTGAAGCTTTATGCAGGCTCTGCAGCCGGCCAATCCCCGGCTGGCCAGGAGCTGACCCACATGGTACAGCAGACCTCTCCTGTCTCGCCTGAGGCTCCCCTCAGCAGTATATTTCATCAGTCTGCCTGCACATCTGACCTGTACTCTGGTTCTTGTAAAAATAAAAAATAAATCTTTGAAAAAAAAAGATTTATTTGTTTATGCATACAAGAACTGGAGTATAGGCCAGAGATGCGGGGGTGAGAGGATTCACCAGAGACAGAGTAGGGAGCAGAACAGGCGGATTGACTGAAATACACTGCTGAGGGGAGAAGGGGGTGAGTCAGGAGAGGGTCCATGTGGGTTGCTCCGAGGCCGGCAGCGATCGAACCAGCACAGCAGAGGCTGCGGACAGCTTCACAGTGCTGCGCTCAATCGCCTGTGCCACCAGGGAGGTGCAAAATAAATAAATCTTAAAAAAAAAAAAAAAATCTTTAAAAAAACCCCACACCCATTAAAAAAAAAAAAATACCTGCTATAAACCACTTCAGATCATCTTGCTTAATCAGCTTTGAGAAACTGATCCAGGGCACAGTAGGAGGTACCCTGGTGCATGGGGGTGGGCAGAGGGTTCCCAGTGACTGTGCCCTCCTGTAATTCTAGTTATTCCCTCCCTGCAGATCAACATGTACCTGACATCACGTGTCCTGTTTGCCCTGGGCCGTCTGGCTGTGGAGAAGGGCTACATCGCCGAATCCAAGTGGGACCCGTTCCCATTGTTCACTGGGCTGGTGTGGGGGCTGGTGATATGGCTCTTTGAGTACCACCAGGCTACGCTGCAGCCCTCGTTGCAGTCTTCCATGACCTACTTGTACAAGGACAGCAATGTATGGCATGACATCTCAGACTTCCTCATCTACAACAAGAGCCGCCCCTCTAAGTAATGTGACCAGAGGCACTTATGGGGGCTTCTGCACCTGAGTTGGCTCCAGGCAGTGTCCATCTGTGACTCGAGATTGGCTCCATTTCTGAATCCTTCCTGAAGATCAAGGATCTCAGATTCCAACTTTTATCACCCCAGGGTTCCATTTACTGATGTAAAGGCCCTGATTTTCAAATCCCATTAGATATTCTGGAATGGTAGAATAAGCGGCTGAATCAGGCTTAGGAGCCTTGGACATGAATCCAGCTGTGCTGCTTGACTTCTGTGGGACCAGGGAAAGTCATATCCACTCTGGGCCTCAGGAGTCATCGAGCTCAGAGGAAGGCTCTGAAGTCTCTTTCTGGTGGGTATGTTCTTTGACTGTTCCTATGTAACAGAGGGCTCCTTGTTGGTGGGCAGTGGGTTACAAATATGTTTTTAACAATTATTAAATTCCTTGTCTCAGGTATTGTTCTATTGGAGAAGCTCTAGAGTTCTACTGTCTAATAGAAACAAAATGTGAGCCACATATATAGTATAAATGGTAGTCACCTTTATAAAAAGTAGAAGGAAGCAGATGATATTAATTTTAATTATTATTTTAACCCAGTATTTCTAATATTATCAAGTTAACATGTAATTAATATAAAAATTGAAATATTTTACACTCTTTTCTTGTACTGAGTTGCATACTTCCAGTATACCTCAATTTGGACCTGCCATATTTCAGGTGTTCAGCAGGCACATGTGGCTGATGTAAAGGCCCTGATGTTTTTGGGTAACACAGACATGGAATACTTGTGTCATTGCAGAAAATTCCAGTGGACAGTGCAGATATAGAGCTGGAGGACAAGGATTTTTATCTTCACCGCATTACTGTGACCTTGGGGAAGGTCCTTAAGACCTTAGAGCCTTAGTCTCTTATAAAAATGAGGATAATCATGAATACTCAGTGTCTGCATTGGACTTGTGTAACTGCGCTTGCTTCTACTACTACTGACTACTTCTGTTTAGTGAGCTCCTACTCTCTTCTGGGTGCTTTGCACATATTATTTTTAATCCATGCAGTTACCTTAACTATCTGTATTTTGATCCTCCTGTCACAGATGTGGAAACTGAGGATCTGAGTGAAGTAACTTGCCCAAGGTAAAAGAACTAGTATGATAACCAAACCAAGGTTTGAACCCAGATCTTTCTGATTTCAAAGCCCATGTTTTTTCAGTGCCTTACTTTCAACTTAGGAACTTAAACAATGCTGTGCAAATGTTAGCTGGTGACAGAGTACATTCCAGAGGGGGGTGTAAGCTCAGGTGCCTACTGGGACCTGGCTGGTGATGTAAATGAAATTTCTAGGTACTGTGCAGTAGGGAGTGAGAGAGTGTGACAAACTGGAGGCTCACTGATTTTTAAAATCATCATGTCAGACAAATCATACAGGTTTCCGGGAAGATTTGGTCCATGGACCACCAATTTCAGACCCTTGGTCTAGTAGGACTATTTCATTCTCTCTCTCTTATATTTTAGGAGTTACTAGAAATGTGCACATGAGTCACTGAAGATCTTAAAAATGCAGATTCTTTCTCACTGGGTTTGGGGTGGGCCCTGAGAGTCTGCATTTCTCAAGGCTGCCAGGTGCTGCTGCTGCTGCTGCTGGTCTAAGATGCATCTACAGTAACACGGTCATAAAGAATGATGTAAAGGGCTTCCCTTGGTGGCGCAGCAGTTGAGGGCTGGGTTGCGAGGCTGCCTGCAGCCTCTGCAGTGCCAGTTCTATCCCTGGCCACCGGCGAGGGTCCCACAAAAAAAATAAATAAATGTAGGGCCAACCATTATACCATGTGACAAATAGGGAGACAGTTGCAGAATGTTTAGGTAGTCAGGGCAGGGTTATGTCTGCTTCTAACAGTGTTCTCTACCATGATATTATACTACAACTTTGGATAAGGTGGTCCTAAAGACCACCAATTCACTCTATAAGGTCTGAATGAGATCTTAAGGGTATCGGGAAGGGAGAAGGTGGCCACTAGCAAGCAGGCTTTTTAGCAGATGTGGAAGTGCCCCTCTAACTTATGTGATCCATGTCCCCTCTAACTTATGTCTTCAGCGCATACCAGCCAACTTTTCTAGGTGCCACCCCTGTGTCTTTCTGCCCGAGACTCTAGCTAGCTACTGGCACTTGCTCTGCTGCCCCATAGCAGGCCTGCAGTGCTGAAGGATTAACATATCCCAGAAACAGCTCTTAGCCATGACTGTTGAATACCCCTACACCTGTACCCTTCCTCCAGTGTATCACTGGATGGGGGAACTCTGAGGTGCATGATCCATACTGGCTCCCAGGGTGCCCAGCAGGACTGAACTCTGGCTTCCCACCATGGTCACTTGTTTGATACCTCCTCTTTCCCCATCCCCCTTCCTCCTTCCCCTACCTATGATTCATGGGACCACTTTCCATGCAAACCACTTGCACTCAAATCCTTGTCTTGGGGTATGCTCTTGGGGAAACCAAAACTAAAATTGGCCTGTGGTGCAGCCAGTTAAAGGGCACTCTAACATGATGGTTAGGGACTAGGCTTTGGAGCCAGAGTGCCTGGGCTCAGCCAGTTTCCTTGGGAAAGTGACTTAGCCATTCTGTGCCTCTGTTCCTCATCTGTAAATTAGGCATTCTAATAGAATGCACTTCTTCACAGGGTAATCTGGAAGATCAAATGATATGACGCATGTAAAGTGAGCACTCAGTAAATGTTTGCTGTTACTTCTAATATAATGTCCAAATGTAGATGAAAGCATGGTCATAAGAACTGAGTACACCCTGCTCTTCGCCTGTCCTGCCCCCTAGCACCCAGATGAAGGTAAAACCTTGGCTGCCTGCCCTCCTGATGTCCCCCCATACTGCTGCGGGTTGGTCGGCTTCACCACTGATTGTCTCTGCTCTCTAAGAATAGGTTTCCCTCACAGATGGCATCTCTCTGAATCCTGCCAGAGCATCTGGTGCCTCCAACTGCTCACTCCAGGGAGGAAGGCGGTGTGGTCCTTGTAGCTCTCTGGCTTCCAGCAGGCCTGGGAGGAGTCCCCACTCTGTTGCCTCCTAGCTGAGCCTCCATTTCCTAAGATCTGTTCGACAGGGAGTGCCAAAGGGCCGTTGGCACACAGAAAGCACTCCATTAACAGTTAGTTCCTGAAACAGCAGCGTGGTATGATGTGCATTTATTAAATACCTGCTACATGACTATGAGGTTTTCTGACATGCAAAACTGTGAAAAATAATTTGTATTAGTCAGCAATGCATAAACAGTGCAAAACTTAAATGACACGAAAAGTGTATAACAGGAAATGTCAGGTTCCCTCCTACACCCAAGCTCCCCCCAAAAACCCCTCCCCAGCCAGGGGTCCTCACTGTGAGCCTTCCTAGGACTGCCTTCCCTGAATAGCCTCGGCGTGGCCGCCATCTTTTTTCACGACATTGTCATATGGCCCTGCCATCTCAGCCACTCTGACATTTCCTTCTGTCTTCTGTGCCTTTGGTTTCTCTTTGATTAGTAAATCTGGTATTGATCCAAAAGTGAGTTTTTTCTTTGACCTGATCCCTCCAACCCCCATACCCCCAAATATCTCAGGCAGGCCCTTACTGCCATTAACGTGAAGATGAACTCCTGAACCTTGTTGTAGGTGAACCATCAGGTCCACAACTTCAAGTGAAAGGGGAAAGACAAAGCTGAAGTTAATTTGGGGCCCTTCTGCAGCTCCTTTCCCAAATTAGAGATCGTTCAGTAGACCCACGTGAGATCCATGATGATTCACTGGGTGGGAAGCCAAGAAACTGCCGCCTCTGATGTGTGCTGCTCCCGCCTTCCTCAGCGCAGGTTCCAGAAAGGAGCCTGGAGATGGCGTTTCTTTCCACAGTGTTCACTTCTCCCACTCCCGTGAGTACATTTGGGGCTTATAGGAATCAGGCTTTAAACCTGAAACCCTCCCAAACCAGAACACTGCTGTGCTCCACCTCCTGGAGTGAAACCACGTTGCCACAATCTGGTGCTTCAGATGGATTTCTTCTTTGACGAATTAGAGGGTGTTTATAAAAAGAAATGCTTGGGTTTTTCCTCTTGTCTCAGATTCATAGGGAGAGAGTTCGTCTTACTTCAGCCTTGCAGAGCATTGTGGGTGAGAAGGTTTCATTGTATTCAGGGTCTCTGTCAGGATCACAGGACGGGGTGTCGCTTGGCTCTCTGCTGTTTAGAGAGGGCTTTCTAACGGAGGGCTCCCTACTTTCTGTGCCAGGCCTGGTCTCTAAGCTGCTGGCAGATCTCTTGATTTCATAAGCAAGACAGAACCAGGTAGAATAGACATGCAGGTTGAAGGGCCTATGTGGAAACCTTATTCTCATTGCTCTTTCGACTTCTCCCTTCAGCCTCTCCTCTGGGCTGGCCATCAGCTGAGACAAGAATCAAGGCTAGGCCACATCAGCTCTCTTAAGCCTCCTTTTTTAGGGTGTCTTTTTTACGTTTATCATGAACTCCTTTGGCATCTGGTGACCCATGGAAGCTTCTCAGAATGCTGTTTTTAAAACCCATGAAGTAAAACATTTCAGTGTATTTTATTTATCGGAATTTTCTGTAATCCTAATACATATCTTATATTTTATGTATTAAAATTACAAAAGTTGGGCCTCCCTGGTGGCGCAGCTGTTGAGCACTGGGTTGAGAAGCTGCCCACAGCCTCTGCAGCGCTGGTTCGATCCCTGGCCCCCGGCCGAGGGTCCCACATGGCGCGCAGACCTCTCTTGCTTCCCGCTGCTCCCCTCAGCAGTGTACTTCATCAGTCTGCCTGTTCTGCTCTCCGCTCTGGCTCTGGTGAATTCTCTTACTCTCCCAAGCTTCTGACTGTACCCAGTGCTTATATAAATAAATAAATAAATAAATCTTAAAAAAAAAAATTACAAAAGTTCACAATTATATTGAATGTCAAATAACTACTCAAAAAATTTTGTGCTTTAGTAAAATATGTTCTTTTTAACACATTAAATAA